TACACCTTGAGGTTACGTGCGTCAACTCTGTTTTATATCATGTTTAGTTAAATTTACCTGTTTGTGTCGGTATGCATGGTAAAGGCCGACTCCGTTTGGTTGGTTACCACGGAATCCGAGGGGGCAGGGCTTGCAGGAGTATCCAGGGACCGTGTTTGTACACATATGCTGACCCATGAAGTTAAAGCAGGCCTCTGGCGCTTCGACGCACTGGAAGTACAACAAATTACGATATTATTATTTACTATGTTCTCATTGAAAACATGGTGAAGTTTTCCAGCTGAGTCATCAACATCACGCTTTGGAAGTTGGTAGACTGGCTTTGACGTGCTAACTCCAAGGCATAGGATAAATTAAGGGCCAATGAACTCGGCGCTAAGGTTTAATCTATATGAGTTTACATTGTCACTGAGTTCAGTTACTCATCAAATCATTAGCTTGTGGAACCACTGGTTTGGCAGTAATGATGTGACTAACGTATGATGTTAATCAACAGAGGAACTCGGTACAGATCATCTATTATGCGGGGTTGCCATCAACGAAAACTTACATAGAACGTAATTGTTAAAGCCTTGAGCTTAATTTCATTTGTAAGTATACTGTATAATGTACCCTTATCAGCATACACCAATACTGTAGTTTATCCAAAAGGTTTAACTCAAATATGATTTAGTTTTAATGGAGTTGTTTTAAGTAATGATGGCGGCTTGTATTTCGACAAATATCCAAAGTGAAAAAAAACGCGTAATTATATAAGTAGTGGCCCATGCATAAAGTATAATATATCAATCAATAAAGTACACTTATATAAATTTAATATTTTTAGGCTTAGTACCTCATTGATATCTTTGCAGTGATGACCGTCTCCACGATATCCGACCGGACATGGACCGCAGTCGTAGGTACCATTCTTATAGCTGATACAGTCTGCACCGTAGAAACATGGGCTCGATAGACAAGCATCTTCAAGAGGAAAAAAAAAACCAATTGAATTTTGTAAAAATAATAAGTAACAATCTGCAATAAAACGTCAATGAGGATGTAAATGATAAGCTTATGGAATAGGGTTAATCACATTTAAATTTAATAATTCATATGATACATTATTTTCTTTGATATACAAACATGATTATGATTATTTATAATTCTAGGTAGTTTAATGTCATGATGAAACTGAAATTCCTTACCGACTGGACATGTTTGTACGTTGCAGAGACGTATCTGGTTGAAATGTCCAGTACAAATTTGTCCCCCATGTTGCGGTTTTGGTGCATCACAGAATCTCTTCCTTTCCTGCCAACCACCATCGCATGTTTTAGTACATCCCGACCAAACTGACCATTCTCCCCATCGTCCATCGACTGTTAGAGAAACAAATAGTTCAGGTTAGTTGATTCGTCAATTTATGCGAAACAACATTGTTTCTGGAAATATTGTTTACCTTCATTAGAAATATACTTTTCTAATGACAGTGTTAGCTTCGTGTAGGCCTATGATTATTTATGTTGCATTAAATTTTACGGACACTGAACGACTCTGAAAAAAAAAACTCTGGGCACAGAAGATATGGAGAAAATTTATCCGAACAATAAGTACTACTTGTTGCAACGTTTATTGATTGATTCATTCATTATAATTTCAGTATCTTGTGATTATTTAAATGGAATATTTTCGAAGATAGTCTCCGAGAGATCACTAATGTTGGAAGTAAAACACTGTCTATAAGATAATGCGTTGTTGTAAAACACGAAATCATGTCGTCCAACCCAGTGCCGTTGGAAACAAGTACTATTAACTAAATAGTTCGCTAAGTACAAACTTTAACATTTAATGTCTATAGCCTTAAATGTTTCGAATCATGCCAATGTATCAAGGTCAACATGTTATTAGATTCTGTATACGGTAAACAATAGCTAATATCACAGAACTGGTCATGGACACTTTCAAACATAGGCCTATTATTGATAAACAGATTTTTTTTTAAATCATTAAAAAACTGCTACTTAAAAATCAAGAAAATATTGAATTGCTCATAAAAAGGGCCACATAAGTTATTAACTTCTACTAGTTCAAAGATGAAAACAATTTTACAGACGTTTTAATAATGATAATTTAAATTTGCAGTCAGAAATTTTTGGTTTTTTTTTTAAGAGAATTTTTTTTTCGCGGTATCGCAGGTAAAAGCTGATAACATTGGAGTATATACAAGTAAGCAATACAATCATTAGCTGTGGTTGTATATTATCATTAGACACAGAGTTTTTGTCTAGTTTCTCTATTTCTCTATCGCGATTACATGTCCTCCGTTTTCGATTTAACACAACATGCGTATGCACACTAAACTAACACGAGTAGGTCTATGAGCATTCTCAATAAAAATTTAAAAAAAAGAGTTCTAGATATAGAGCGTTAAGTACAATGTCACTATAATAAGCCTAGCAAAATCATCATACGGTCACGTCCATCTGGCGGATGAAATCATTAGTATCTGGAAGTTCATCCAGTTCCCAGCGTTTCAGTCCAAAAAAAAGTTAGAATCTGCTTGACACAAGCTAACACATGGGAAACTGCCAAAGAGCATTTTATAAAGTCGCCCTCTAACTGGCACAGATGATAGGCGAATCGTCATTTAACACATTTTGCATGTGTATGTCTTCTTTCATACGGAAATCAATTTGGTCAAAATACTATTCTAGTGTCCATTTATCGAGTACAGTACTATCTTACCTGGGCAAGGTTTCTGTACGCATAACTTATTCTCTCGTTTATCACCAAGACACTGCAGGCCTCCGTTCTGTGGTTTTGGTACGTTGCAAGCACGAACGCGTGTCTCTGTTCCATTGCCACAAGTTACGGTGCAAATCCAAGGAGACCATGGGCTCCAGCCTCCATCAATTCTACCTAAATAAGACCAACGGATTGTTATTCACTATCACTCCGATAAATAATATGTTTGTAAAGTCCAATCCAGTCTATTTCAAACTTAGACTTATAAGGCGCATGTCTCTGTCCGTCAAATATGAAGGAGAGCTCGAAATACAAAAACAAAGGCAAAATAAGATACATATAGTTTAAAGAAGAATAGAGAACAAAAAACAAAAGAAAAATAGATGAAGACATTAAATGGATCTGAAAGTTATTTGAATCCAAAATCCATCACACCTGATCTCTATTTATAATATGCCTATAACATAACAAAGGTACCGTACCAAATACATTTTAATAAAAAGAATGAATACGATAATAATTATTATTTTAATTACCAAGGGTAACTGCGAGTGTAAAACATTTTTAAAACAATACTCACTGATGCATGGTGGATTCCCTATGCATACTCTTGTTTGCACGTCACTACCATTGCACTTGTGGATACTCGCGTCGCAAGAGCGGCCGCGTTGCTGGTGCCCGCGTCCGCATGTGGTTGAACACTGGGTCCAGGCGGACCAATCACTCCATCCATCGTCTTCACCATCCACGTTACCTATTATAAAAGAAGATTTCTTAGCTCTCAGAGACAGTTACGCAATACTTTGTTGATTAGAGGAATTTTGTCATGTACTCTGTAGTAGTAGTTTATGTGTGTGTATGTAATTTTATGTAGCTATAGATATGTAGTTAGTTAGTTACATAGTTATGTAGTTATTATGTAGTTTATGAAATTCCCCGGAAGGGATGGCGGAAAGGGGCAGTTTACTACATTGTGCATTACCTATTCTCAGCACAACACCGTCATGATTGTTGTTTACGGAACAAAATGTAGATATTTGCAACAGGAAAATACGCTATACTTTTTTTTATTAACTTTCAAAATCACGTGTACCACTGCAATACGGTTATCTAATAAATAGACCTTTCCGGAGTGTCAATCAAACTTAACAACTGACTAATCAGAACAGCGCTAGGAATACGCGCGCGTCTTACAAACACACGTGTTGTCCCACAAACGCACGTGTTCGCGTATGTTTTAACACTGTCGTCTTGTGAGACCTTAGCAACAATATCCAAGGGGCGGAGCTTAGCGGAAAGGTCCATTGCCATTGGCTTGATGTAACCGTTTGGTACGAAGCAAAATTAGCAAATTAGAATTATACAGGCTCCGGATACTTACCACAAACAGGGCAACACTCTCCAGGAATCTGAATTGGGTTTTGGCATGATGTTATTTGGCAGTTAATCGTTACACATTCGATAGTCCCAGCCTTTGGGAAATAAAGACAAATGAATGCATATGTATAATTGCAAATGAATTAAAGGAATAAACCGGGAAAATATTAACAGTACAAAAAAAGAAACTCAAGAAATATTTATAAAAGAAGAAACGTCTACTAAGCCTACATGTAACTGTATAATCAAAACTATTAGAAGGTGTTAACAAAGTCACATTTAGAACATAGGATTTTTTGGCAATTTGCGTCGGTTAAAACTAGTTTTGATATTCTCTCATTTGATTAGTATAATTTAAATTAAACAGAATAATTTTAAGTTTCATACAGCAAAACCTCCAAATAAGGATATAATAAAGATTCTTATGTTAATTAGTCTGCGTAATGTTTTCGTCCGAATCTGAGTTTAGTGAGTGATGCTGTGGAGTTTGTTTAATATTAGTTTAGAGACTATGAGTATACATCTGATTTAACGCACCTCGGGATATCTCAGGGAATTAATTAATAAGTCTTGAAAATGTAATGTGCGACTATAAATAGTATGAATTGAGTATACAGTAATGCTTATTATTGGCAGAAAATATGCAATGGCTTCTATTATCGCTTTCATGGTCAATGTAAATGCGCTTACATGGTCATTCATTTTTAGATCGGTCGTTGTATCAGGGTAGACACTTTTATGAAGGTCATTAAAATTAACAAACATGAACTGTCGTAATTTATCATGTATTGCCGCTAAAAGCCACGAGTGAGCAACAACGGAGTACAGTACATGAGTTTACGCTGCATCAGTCAATCACAGAGATCAAAAACTCTGGCTATACTTTTCGGTAGGCTTGTTGGTCATCATGCAGTATTTTTCATCGCTTCAGTGCCATGCCAAACGATATTAAGAGACACATGTCTTGAGTTAATAACATTACATTTCCTCAACATGTCCATTGATATGCGATGGTAATTAAATATTTTGAAGAGTTACCACGAAACATTTTTTCTTAATTCTAGTCCTAATACCCACACATTTTCTTTACATGATGCTTGAAAAAAATGTTACTTTATATAGACCAAAGGAGATATGGATACGATATTCTTCACTGCGTAAACATTTAGACTAGTTTCTCTCGCCTCACTACTGTATGCATATATTATATTAAACTCTTTTCTATCTAGTTAATGTACGCCTTATTGGTTATAAGAACAAGAACTGGTTATTTATATATTTTATTTATGTGTTTCACTGTATTTATATATACAAACTATAAACCTGAACTTACATTGCATACGCATTCTGTACAGTCTCCCGCTCTCCACATTGTGCCATTTTGCCGCTCAGCCCCATGATGCCAGCAATTGCCATACCTGTTAGCAAGCTGTAAATATTTAATTACTCTTAATTAATTTTAATAAATTTACTAAGGCAATTTTTATTACAGCTATGTAAGCAATGTGGAAAATAAATTACATAATAAACCTATACACAAATAATGTTCCAAAACGATAATAAATATAATAGTAATTAATATGTTTATAATGATGAAGTGGTGATGATTAAAATAGTGGTGATGATTAAAATAATAATGATAATAATATTAATTACAAATTCATAATAACAATATTAATAATAATTAATAATGACAATCAATAACAATAACACATTAAATAATAATAACAATAACAATACCGATATTATTACTTCCAAATAAGTATATAGTCAGAGTGATTAACAGTAATAAATTATTAACTTCGAATTAATTAAATAATATTGTGTATTGAAGTAGAATATGATGTATAAAATTGTTTATATAGGATATTTACAATTTTGTTTTTTTCTCCATCTACAGTCATATCGACAATATTTGATAAAACTCCATTCAATCTGTCTTTATACTGAAGGAAATCCTCCTTTATTGTATCAATTTCCCGCAATTTGTTGTTCAGACGATAAAAGTCCTCGCACACAAATCCACAAGTCGTTCTAGCGCCCTCATAATTGCTAACAAGTTCCTCGATGTGTTCAGCTTCCGAAGTTGGACTCAATGCGAACGCGGAGTGGGCGTTGTTGATCGGACGTCTAGTTGGCGGTGCTGGTTCGATTTTGTTGGTTGGCTCAGGAGACACAATCTCGGTTAGTTCAGGATCTATGTCGGGAAAATCAGGGCCAGTGTCTTCTTCTTCTTCATCTACAACCTCAGGGGCGATTGGTGAAATTATTTCTGCACACGAAATAAAACAAGAAAACTTTATTAATTAGTTATACACACTGCCAATATATGAATAGCTTAGTTTGTGTAATTTATTAGCATATGCCTGTTTATAGAAAATTATATTTTCCCGTCAATCAACAACAGCAAATGTTGTTCTTTTTTCAAAAACCTTTAAATTGCCTCGTAAAGAATTTATTTTTTCGTCGTACGTCTTTTATCCCTACCCACACCGATGCCGCCGTCACTGCAGTACAATAGCAAAATACATATGCCTATAGTATTAAAGCCATGCCAGGCTCCGGAGGAGGTAACTCCCTTTTTCCAGCTTTTCCCCCAGTTTTTAAATATTCAAAAATTTGTATCTCATTAACCACTTACATGTTTTTCGTCAAATATGGTTTTTGTGTCTTAGACAAATCAGTTGTACAATATATATATTAAAAAAATTATGGATCCCGACTTTAAACTTTTCTTTAGAAGTTGATAATTTATTTAGTACTTTTAAATCCTCAATTCCATATTTTAATTAATATATTTAAAAGAGGGTTTCAAATTTTACTACAGACAAGTTAATCTTCAAAACCTAATACTGCAGAATCGGAAGTCTAATTGTTCTATGATTTAAACATGTCCATGAATTAACACGTTAATCCGATGAACAATACTCCTGTCAAACGTATTTCCGGAACACCAATATACTGCGGTAACAGATGTATCATTTGTCCAAAACTAAAACTGAAATTATTCATGGAATGTGTCACAATATTTACTATTGGAAAACATAAATACAGCAACCAATATTCAACATTCAGGTCGTCAATGAATACATTGTTCATCTGTACAGTGTAAGCACTGAGAGCTAAAGATATCCCAAACAGTTAATTAATCACTCTTCAAAGTGGCAATCCTGTCACAAGACCAACATACCCACAATTGAGGCTTATGAAGCGGAGTTGCTTTGGTTGTGAGAAAAAAAAAGACAATCCTGTTACCATGACAGGCTGGTATTGAACCCAAGACCCTGGAATTGGAAAGCAAGCACCTTAACTACCAAGCTATTCAACTCCATTCCACTATGGTTATTCTTACCTGATCGGCCCTGGGCAATTTCTCCGGAAAGACTATCACTCAAAGATGAGAATGACGACGATAATTCATAGTCACTACCGGTCATGAAGCACCCTTGGTCTCTCAATACCTTAGATAACCTGGTATTGAAAATGAATTTCACATCTGCAAGCATACCCTGAGTCGAACGAAAATAAAACAGGGAATTATTATTACAACAATATAGATTTAGATCTATTGCCGTGATCACAAATATTAATACCGAGAGGCGTACAAAAAAAGTTCCAAAGGTCATAAGTCTCAGCCAAGTGTAAAAAAAAAAAGAATTTTACTTTTAGTTTAAAGAGGAGACTTTTACTTAGATCAACTCGTTAAACCTGTTTTCCACTAGGCTTGGATTGGATTGGATTTATTCGGTGTAAACACCAAGGATAGCCCACGAAAGTCTAGAAGAAGACTTATTTCCAGTGGGGTCCTTCTTGTGGTGATTGGGCAGTACACCGTGAGACAATCCCCTACTCTTTTCTGAAGAGTGCGTTCTTTAACGTGTACATGGGCCATAATGCACACGGGACCAACGGCTTAAACGTCTCATCCGAAAGACGGTGCGCTATTGTAACTTGTATTTCAGCCCTCTAGCTGAAACACAAGGAGAGGCAGCGATGGGAATTGAACCGGGGACCTAGAGATCTCCACGGTTCAGCGCACACACAGCGGCTACCACCAGATTAGCCGACTGGGCTAAGCTGCTCTCTCGAACTTATTCGCGCGAATCAAAGGCGTCGGTTCGGTTCCTGAGCTCCGAAACCGGTCGGAACAAGAAACTACAACTTATTTTTGATTGGCTTTCTTTATCCTCACAGTTGATGTTTGGCTAAAATTCAGAATGCACTATGGAAATCCAGGCACGCCTATTTGCTATGGTCTTACGTGGTCTAGACAATGTTTAATGGGAACAATAAGATATTATTGTGTGTGTGTTTAGTCTTAAATAAAAAAAATATAAAAAATAGGCCTATAGCAATATTCAGAAACTTAATTTAGTTGAATCAAATTATGTTGTACTGTACATAACTTAAAATTTTTTATTATTCAATTTACATTTGAGATGTGTCTTTAAAAAAATGAAATATTCATTAATTTAGACCATGGGCGTCTATTCGTTAATGTTTCCATACAAAAGTATATACGAATACGATAAACTTTATTGGAATTTGCATAAAATATGAAAGTAAAGTTTAACAATAATTCATATCATGAAACTAATACGGGATTGAACAAGGCGAAGAAAAAAAAAACACTAATACTAATAAGCCTACATACAAATATAACATATCGGTAAAGAAATACAGTACGTCAGTATAAGTGCTTCACATTATTAGCCGGGTCATTGGATCAAGCACTTGGAACACATACCGTACTGTATTCAGCCCCTTGGGAAGTATAACATATGTTAAACTAGGAATTAGTGCGTTGACATTCGAAACACTTAGGCCTATTCTCCTGGGTGGAGCGAGGCAACGTGGCTATGATACACGGGACTAGAACCCAACCTTTCTAATTTGACATATAGCTTTTCCGCTGTACCACATTCCGACTTTCTTGGTGGTCGTACTTAATTTTATCTATTTTGCTAAAAGAAGTGCCAAGTTGTATACACTATTGAAGAGCCTTTATCTACCAATGGCGCATGACATGAGCAGTGCTGTCAATATTCCTGTCAAAGACCTGAAAATAAAAATCTCGAACGTGGTCTAAACAATTTGTCGCAGAAGTAGTAGAAACGATAGATTGTGTATGGGTTGTATGATCAACTTCTGCTATTACACAACGTGTGTCTCAGGCCTCCCACATTATGATTTTGTTCAAGATTTGACCGTAGAGAGTTGTATCTTATCATGTTACATATTATAATGAGTTCGTGTTCATTAGACACATATCAAAATTGTTTCTGGTTAACAAATACTTTATTTTTTAAGTGGATTGATCTAAATCAATCCACTAAGAAACAAAGTACTTGTTAACGGATTTGTTGCTTTCCACATTGTCATAAATCATAACAGCGCCATCATTTAAACTTAACATTCTCAAGTTATCACGTCATTATGATACAATACTTCACAAAATAGGACTGAGTTAAAACTTTCAATATATTTTCTGTAAGTTCAACTTGTGTTTATCAACGATAATAATTACTAAAGGTTTTGAATAGTTTTCCTACCTTGTAATCATACATGTCTCGTCGATCGAGCCCCTTCGCCAGTCTGAGTTCGTACTTTGACGGGTTAACGTTTTGGTAAAACGCGTCTATAGATTCCAATGCAACTTGCTCACAATCAAAATAAAGAACAGCGAGTGTTCCTTCAATATTAAGAGTAACATTATGCCATTCATCGTCTTTAGCTCCAATGTTCACTTTACCTAGTTTCACCGTATGTTCCGATGTTACCCCAGTGGGACTTGTCACCCCGTACTGCAATAATGTTTTATCTTGTTTTCTATTCACAACGAGCCCAAAAATTCGTTTGTCCCCTTTTAATGAGTCAATAGAAACAATTGTTCCTTTGTTATTTTTGTCCGGTTTTAGTGTCGCAACTAATTGAACTGCTTGCTCTACTTTCATTGTGTTCATAAAGTTTTTTAGGACGTACGGCGGGGCGGCGATGTTTGCCGATGTCCCCTTGAATCTGTATGCATCATCACCTTTGTTAGGACCTTTTATTTTCTTTATGCCATGCACTGGCATTCGTGAATTTAATTTTACTGCATCGATGACATCAATTGTTTCTTCTGAAAAAGAATGCGAATCAAATTTTACATAATAACTATGAAGAGGATTCTGGATAAAATTTATATTTAAAAAACTTAAATACAAATTATTGCTGATAGGCACTAAAACAATTTATTATAGGCCTAGAAAAAAACTTCTGAAATTGTAAATCAATTTTATTTCTATCATTTTTAAAGTACATTATATTACTATGTAGACCTTTTACTTGATTAAAGTTACATTTAAGTTACAAATTATTGCTGATAGGCCCTAAAACAATTTATTATAGGCCTAGAAAAAAACTTCTGAAATTGTAAGTCAATTTTATTTTTACCATTTTAAAGTGCATTATATATAACCATGTTAATGGTTAGACCTTTTACTTCATTAAGTTACATTTAAAGTAAAAGCAGTGAGAAACTAAAAATCGACATAGGCATTTACAAAAAAAAATTACAAAATTACTTCACAAAAAGTCGATACAAAACACAAATATCAGGCCTGATACGATTTCATAAAGTAAAAGTTGAAATAAAAACGTTTGGTAGCTGCGGAATATTGTACAAACTTTCTTACCATAACAGGCACTTAAGGCCACCAATGCGAGTATCAGCAACGCCCGATACATAGTGTTAATCTTCTGTTATCTGTAATGATGAAATTTAATATTTCTTAAATATTTCAATGAAATTAATAGAGGAATACGCAAAAAACGCAATATTTATTGTGTATACCATGATGGTACAAGTTAGTCGAACATTGAAAATAAATGGTTTAGGTTTCAGATTTTACCTCAAAGAACGCAATATATTTTTTAAAGAGAATAGCAGGGATTGTTTCTCGGTGTAATGTAGGCCTGCTGCACATTATCACCACCAGAGTAACCCCACTGGGAATACGTCTTTGGAGGTTACCTTTGGAGTGTTTTACACCGAAGAACTCTAATCGAACTCAAACTAGCACATGTAGACCTATATACAAAAATCAGTTTGTAAAAACATACGACATTTAAAGATAATCTTTTTTCGACGCATTTATGAATACCAATCTTATGATTCTTATAAGTATTTAAAGGTAAATGCGTCTTAACACGAAATTTTATTTATTTTACAACCTTCTTATGATTTGATAAACAAAATCCCATTATTATTCTGTAATTTTAGCAGATCTCACTCAGATTTAACTTATCAATTTTAATCAATGTTTCCAAGAGATTCGTTTTTACGTTGTTTTTGTCATGACAAACATAATAGTTAACAATCAATAAACGAGTGTCATGGTTGGTGAAGTAGACTTAAGTCTGTACAACTAATTATGACTAATAATAAGATTCGACCTCAGCCCTTGGGGTAACGGTCTTATACAATAAAGATCCTTCGTAGGAATCGTTAGTATTTTCAAGATTGATTATATAGGGTCTGGAGTGGTATTATACAGCAATGTCCTTCCCCGGTTGATAAAAAAGTTGGTTTATTCCTTCGAGAATGGTTCCAATTTAGTAAATTGCATAGCATTTGGTGTGACCTTGTTTTAATTATAACCTGACCTATAAATGTTCAGTGGTAGACTGATACACATTTTTGTTGTACATATTAATATGATTACGTAAATTTGTTACTCTTGCAAAACAAGTTAACGTGAAGCAAAATTAGCTAACTGGTAAGGTACGAATTGTTACAATTTGAAATCAAGAGTTTACATTTCTAGTAAGATTAATAATATCAATAGCAATAACATTTGGCAAAAAATACACTTCTAAGATCGTGAGAAAATGATGTTGGAATGTTGCTATTATAGATAACAGACTTTATCAAACAATAGGCTACTGGGAATTGATGCAACATCAAATACCGTGAAATAATATTTAAAGAAATAATACGGTATATCAAAACGCTTACAAGAAAATTATTATTATTTTCCTTGCCAGTTATAATCTACACATAACTAAACCCATTCTTATAATCATTTGCATGAATTGCTTTATTGAAAAAGTCAATAAATTAGTAAAAACCTGCTTGTTTCGACCTGTGTACATAAGTTGTATAATCTTTTTAAATGCCATATATTTTAATTAGTTTTTCTCTATATTCTATGACGGAGAATAGGCTTTATCTACAGCATTTGATTTTGTGAAGTTTCTTTCTGGTTGGTTAAATTTAAGAAAACCTGAATATACAGTGGGAAGGTAAAATTCTCAAAACTGTACTTTTTGAGGGAAAAAATAATATCTTGGGCCTAAGCATTCAATATACATTTACAGAAGCATGTGCACATTGTTTTTCACCAATATACTGTATAATACATAATTATATGTCTTATATATTATCAGAAATGTGATTTATTTTTAGGCTTAAAATGTCAATCCATTTGTATTGTTTAAAATGTAGGACAATAATTTTATTTTATAATAATGTAGCTAGTGTAATTTGAGATCCAGAAAGATCGGCTTAGCTGAGAATAAAGGTGATCTTCCTTAGTTCTGTCTTTTAAGGTTGGGTAGAATACTGTCTACACGATTTTTTTAAATTTTAGTTAATGGTACCGGTACTGCTTAATTACCGCACGTGCTGCCTGTATTCATAACTTTATAATTGATATTCAAAGCTGACTGATAGCACTAAAAAATAATTATACAAAAATGGCCTCAATGGGAATTATAGATGATAAAGTCTGGAAACTAAAGAATAATTATTACAAACTACACGTTAACAGTTGATCTGAAACTTGCTAGAAATGACTATTTGTAGTAAGGTAAATTATATACCGGTACTCCTTTAAACAATATGATATCGATGAAAAAGGATATTAAAAATGATTACTGACTGATACAGATAATACCACATTACAGAATCATTAGTACTATTATGTTTATCGTTTGATACATAAATAAACAGGATAAACCTAATTAATACAAAGAACCAATGTGGGACTGAACCTCAGCCCTCCGTCTAAGAGTTTCTCCAAAAAACAAAAACAAAAAACAAAAAAACAACAAAGAAATACAAAGCGTTATAAGCTGCGAAGCTCTGTATTAACCTTGTTGGAAAGTGTAATCTCTCTGTTTCCTGTTTCAATATCAAACCCAGTCACATCTCTTAGACAATTTGTAACTCATCTGACCAAAACACAAACAAACAATCGAATTAATCAAACGTAAACGATCGGTAACTTCTAAATAATCGCATTGAATAATACTAATGAAATCAAACATCTGATTGAGCATTGGTATTACGTTATTGTTCGATTTCGTTAAGCTTTGAAGAATCGTCCTTGATTGTAAACTCTGCATGTAACTTAACATTCCTCACAGATTTGACTTCAAATGCGGCGCTACTATCCTTACATTACATCCAATATCTAATCGACTATTGAAAGCAGGAACTATCATCAAATTAGCATAAACAAACTAATATGCAAATAAGGTGAATATTGATTCTATCTGATGAAAACATACAAAAAAAGCATTAATTTTGCATAGATGTCAGGACAATCAACTACTAGCAAGTCGTATATCCATGGGAAGATGATCTCTTAGCTATAGGTTATACTTCGTTAATGGTAGATATCCGAGTATTTTCACAAAACCAAAATAAAATACAGAGATATAGACAGAAATTTAACGGCACAGGTTAATATCACCTTACCGGTTAGGCATCAACAAGTTTATAAATTGATAATACAATAATAGACTGCGGCAGACGTTATGGAAATAATAAAAATCCAATCGAAATCCAAAATACTCCTTTATACATCCACAATATAAATACAGTCCTTTCCTCTGTCGTTCCAAATTGTAAAATGATTCGATAAAGTATTTAAGTATTCCTCTTTTCAGTTCCTTGCGCAAGAGACTAATATTAGGTCACGTGACTCTGCAGCAGGAAAGGGGAGTTTTCTCTTCGAGATCTTTTTATTATTATTATTTTCTACGTCCCTTTAAGAAATATATAAAGTTCGATATTCTGGTTCTGATTGCAACTGGTTCGTATGCGTTAGCGTCTAATAGCCACTTTTCCCTTTATAAACCACGATTGACAGACCACAGTGACAAGTTCATGAGTACGGATAGGCCCGCCCACAGTAGGCGGAGCTCTAAGCGAAGGATGCACCAATCACAAATGAGTAGGATGATGTAGAAAGTTAGGCAACTTGTTCTGATCTCTGAAAGCACACTGCTGTACACTCAGAGTAAATTTGTCACAATTCCATGTTTTTTATTAACTTATATGAGATATGGAAATGTATCGCATCGCTTGTAATTAACATTCAAAGAAAAGCTGATGATTTAAGATTGTTAAGGTTATAAAATCCATATAATTATTGTTCTAGTGGTTCCTTTCTATAATTAAAGATGTAGGGATACAGTTTGCAATAAAATCTGGAGTAATCTAAAAAAAAAAATTCAATCAAAAAATTGAATAGCTCTGATGAGACGCAGTTTAAATTAAACAGTCTTCGTTGATCGATCATTTACAACAAACATTTTTTAATTGGTTCCCAGCCAAGAGACTATGTAATGTGCAATACGAATTTTTGTTTCATTTTAATTGCTTAAATTTTAAAAGCAATTTTTAATAGGCCTGGATATTCTTTAACACATGGTATGAGTCGCATTCAGGCTTATCCTTAACAAAAATTATTTAAAAAATATATATATAAGGGTATCATAATTACTTTTTGGAGTATTAAAGTAGTACAATTGTTAACAATGGACCTTTCCGCTTAGCTCCGCCCCTTGGATATTGTTGCTAAGGTCTCACAAGACGACAGTGTTAAAACATACGCGAACACGTGCGTTTGTGGGACAACACATGTGTTTGTAAGACGCGCGCGTATTCCTAGCGCTGTTCTGATTAGTCAGTTGTTAAGTTTGATTGACACTCCGGAAAGGTCTATTAACATTATGTTGCACAAGCCTGAAACACCCAACTCAACCAACCCAATATTTTATTTTCGAGGATGGAACAGAATGCATGATGTTTAAAAAGTTCACTCGAACTTTTCAAAAAGCCATTGGTTTATTTATTTATTTATTATTTTTATTTCTTTATTCTGAATACACAAATAGTATTCAAAGATAAAAACGCCGATAAATTACAAAAACGGTAACTGTATTTTAGTTGTGGTCCTAAAATATTAAATACAGAATAGGCAAATCATCAGCTGAAGACTTACCAAACTCTAAAATCTAAGCATTGAAACAATAATTTTCACTTAATTTCAAAATTTCATACAGTTCCTTCCAAATAAGTAATTGAATTATTTGAGGTGTATACAACCTATGGGTTGAGTGATGGGATAGTTAGTCATGAACCTTGAAATAGACTAAATAGTAAAAGAAAAATAAACAATAAATAAAATTCCCAACCGACCGATTGATACTTTTTAAAAGCTTTTTTTGCTAAGGCTGAGTAGTGTGACAATTATTGTCACTGTGCTTGGGTAGATCAACCATCGTTTGGCCTTACATGCTGCTTTGGTAACCGTATGAGTAGTCCTATAAAGCGATACAATACTTCTAAGTGGCATCGGCGAAAGTGCCAAATGCTCTTGGAAAAAATGAAAACACTCCATTTGTACAAGTTCTGAAAAACATTACTATATACCAGGTGACCCATTGGTACGTGTTTCCGACCCGCCCCTTAAAATTAATGAAATCCATATTGGCGTGACAAACACCTAGCAGTGTCAGCGTGTATCAGGCTGTTACGAGAAAGTGATATTCTGTTTTCCTCGCGTGGCATAAAACCAACCCACGAATTAACAACACGCGAATTTAGGCCTACTAATTAGGCTGTCAATTAATACTACCGGTAACTTATTTCTTATGGAACGCCAACGAACTGGAAAAATGTATGTCCCATTTAGACATACACAGCGATGATAATACGTCGCTCACATCACGAACTAACACAATCGAAGTAGATTGTGTTAGTTCGTGAAATCACAGTAGCGCGTCAAAACGAGCGCGTATTGGTTGTCAAGCAATTTTGTATTCTTTACCACACAAAAAGTCCTTAACGACAACAGCGCGTATTTTGACGCGCTTTTTTGATTTCACGAACTAACACATTTCATTTCATTTTTTTCATTTCATTTATTTTGTCTCAATAAAATACATAAAAAACAACAACCGGTTACAATACAACAAAATAAAAGCATAAAAAATCTGAAACAGGCCGAGACAGGATTCCTAAAAGTGAACCAAATCACTATCATGTAAGTCTCCTAATGCACTATTCCGATTACACATAAAATAATAATGAGCAATTGAAATAATACTTAAAATCTGTAAAATTTGCCTTAACAATAAGTATATATATATAGAAATTGTAAAACTTATTTAAAATGTAATTTAAGATCGTTTAAAAATGCTTTAAGATTGAATTTAATTGTGTTAGTTCGTGATGTGAGCGACGAATAGTAAACAAAACTACCTTGATTGAGATAAAAAGCGAAAATCGATATTTTAATGGGGTTTTGACAACAACCGCATCCCAACCAAGTTAGGTTGCCGCAGGCTATATATGATCTTTAATTGTAAATTGTTTGTATTATAAAATTGAGAGCTGCGAACCAGAATGCCCATCATGCCTAGACCTACCATATTTTTTCAAATTAGAATAATCATAATTATTCTCATATAGCAGAATTCATAGCAAAGCAACTATCTACACTATTTTGTTATTTGATTCGAATCCAGAATATGCCTATATTAACATGTTATATTAACAAGATATTAACCGGCAATGTGCTGCGATTAAAGTTAGATATTATACTGTCATCTAAATCTATATAAACACTTGAAAATAAAAAAACCCCCAAATAATAACCAATATTTATGTTGGCCTCTCTCATTTAATTTTAAGCATTCAAATGTTTAGAATATGGAATCAGCATACAAAATTGGATAGACATAGCGTGTCTGGCATTTCTTTTTTAAATGTATATAAACGTTTTAAAAGAGCAGAATAGGCTAGCTATATGAATAAATAAAATCTAGTACTGTAAGAAGTTTAAAAAAGTGAAGCCGAAACGGGCGAGGAACAATTCCTAATGTATGTTTGGACTACGCCCTCACTAATCATGTGTAAATGCATTCTACTTTCTATTAAATTATCCACTACGTTTTATCGTGACCGACAGGATACGTTATTAATACTAACTTATAAGTAATTATTCGTCAAAATTTTAAAGAAAATTTGACAGGATTTGAACCTATGATATTGGCATAGGAAGGCAGGCACTTCACCAGACCACTACATTATTTATTCCAATTTTCCATACGACATGACATAAAGTGAAGGGTCGTTTTATAACTTAATTGCACGCGCAGTATTATAACACGCTTTTGTAATAATCTGGAATAGAAATAGAAAGAAAACCCCCTGGCAGCATCGTCGGCAGCATAAAGACATTTACCTCAACTGATCATCTATAAATTACAACGATATTAGATATCTTTGTTAATAACTGGCAGTCTCATAGCCTCACGCTATTTCCCCACAAGGGAGAACACCTTAGAATAGCGTACCTCCAACCTGCCAACTCCGGTTGACTCTCAAAGTTTGTGATGTGTTCAGACAGATCGAAACCACGGAGTTTATTATTATTCAAGGGAGAATCTTCGTCGCAACGAATCAATTAGATTCCCCGGGAGTCAGTTTAACACCTGAGTCACTGGAGAAAACACGTTGACACTTCCGAAAGATACCTCTCATTTTGTATGCCGTGCGGTAATTTTCATATATACAAACAGAAATTATAGGTAAATTGTTTTCACTTGTCATATGCCGCGCGGTAATTTTCATATAATACAAAATAATATAAATAGCATGGTTAGGTAAAATGTTTTCTCTTGCTTCAATAGATCAACAATAAACCTAGGCCTATATTCAACCAAGTTAGCATAATACCGACCGACAGTGTTGCCGTACTATTTTACGGAGAGGGCGTGTGGACCCGAGCAACTACTCACAGGTATATTTCCACATCTTTTTACGAATAAATACACATTTTATTTTTCCAAAAACACAAAGTTGCATTCGGAAAATTTCTCAAGTTGAACAAGTAGAAAAATAATTTTACGTAGATCCACTAAGTTTCTATTAAGTTTCTTAATTACGTTAACACAAATGTTAGTTATGTTAATTGCTATGTTCTCTCTATAGAGATTGTATTTTAGGTCAAACTTGTATTTACGTCAAAAAGTTTAACGGTAGTAAATTAAAAAATGAATGGTGGGTCAGTCTGGAAGCATTACAACAACTTTTCACCGTCATGCTGGCAACAGATCTAAATATAGTTTACTGTTACAACTTCTGTCGCCTTTTTAAATTTCTGCTTGGGGGTATTCCCCCATGCGGCACAATATCTGACGAATCAGCATTTACACTATTATAACCTACATAGGCCTTATGGAGCATGTTACATGGTATACGGTAATTCTGAATTATTTACGTAGCCCAAAATTGTTATTTAGACTATTTACAAAATCCGAACTGAGATCATTTTTACCTTCAACAAATAAATCACTCCTTATCCAAATTCAGTTGACAATACATATAGTATAGAACTGCAAGAGAAAACGTTAAAAAGTACTTCCACGAGATAGCGAGCGCCCTATTGGAAGGCGAATAGTGTTTATTCACTTCACTCGACTTTTGAAGGGCGCCCTGTAGTTTGAGGTAGTATTTTCGGAAATATAATGAAAACACGACTCAGACCTCTTACAATTCTAAACTCATGTGATAATACACATAGGCCCATAGTAGACTTATATTCACGCGATTCTCATTTTTAAAAAATAACACATAGACCTAACACATGAAATGATAGTTTGCACTCAAACATACAATACGATTATGCAAAGGGTCTGGTACCCTATCATTTTAAAATTCAAGTATACAAACAGGCCTACATATACTAAAAATATTCAGATGGAAATAATTATATGTTACAAAAATAATCCGTGTTTATAACCAACATTTTAGGTATAGACCTATATAGATTAGAACCTTTGTGCACGTACCTACATGAAATTATCTAAACTTAGCAAGTAAACAGATAAATTAAGTAAATTTGTTTAATAAAAGAGCACTAATTAATTATCAGCCATATAACTTTAGTGCACCCCGATTCATACTTTGAAGTGTCAATCCCGAGCTTCCGATTAATGAGCTACCGGTACCTAACGTGAAATAAATGAAAGAAATACAATCCCATGGCATTCCTTCTAGTACTTTTTGGCCTATAGTAAGAAAATCAGTATAGGTCTAGCATATTAATTAGTTTGTTATCATAATGAGAGGCTGGGAAAAGGGGCTGACAGTTCCAGTCACGGTTTAACAGCATCCTTATTATGATGCTTTTCTGTGACCTACAGGAAGATATAATTTGCCGATAAAATATACCTTATGAATCACATTTTGTACACAAACAAAACATTGGAATGTACGGAACAATTAATTCTAAAATGTTGTAAAACGATCGATTATAAATAAGGTCTGCATTTACTGATTACATTTTCTCAGAATGAATTTCTTAGCTATATTTTTAACAGTAACATGGAAAATACTCTGTACTATGCCCATATATAGTCATGATGTACATATATGGTCATGATGTGATGTCATCATGACCATATTTAGGCATGTCGCATGTTTTTCTCTAATAAAATTTGATAGTCTGCACAGGGCTTTAGAAATGTGTAACTTAAAACACAAAATTATACTTTTATAACGCGACTTCTTGTACTATATAGCCTTTGTGTGCGTTAATAGTGCTATATCTATACTCATGTTTATTATAATATAGGCCTACTTCTCTAGACACATGTATGTTTATTATGCAGTCATAAAATAAGATATGTATGAATGGGACTATCATAACCATTGCTATTCATTAAAAAAAGAAATTATACAGGTATTTTTTGAGGACTATATAGGCCTACATGCTGCCTAATAATATTCCATGAGGGACAACAAGTTGCGTAGCATCGTTCTTAAAATAGTTACTATCGTGTACAGTGTACATTGTTCTTTTACGCTCAATTAAATATCTCAGAAACCTGTGTCGCCTAATAATATTCCAAACCACAGTCTTAGCCTGAAATAAGACAGATATGTACTGGAAATGACCTGTCCGCTCGAAATACGCCCAAAAAAACTTTTTATTCTTCTTTAGCTACAAAACACGTCGTAATTATGCTGAATTGCCATTAAAGTGATAAATCGCATGCTATTCTTTTTTATTCCTACATTATTTCATGTTTCCATGAAATTTTACTGAATTTAATTTTGTTCACAAGATTGCTTCTATATTACAACGAAAAAAAAATATAGCTAAGATATACGCATAGGTTTATAAAGAACCTATCAATAGTCATTACGTAATTTATTCAATACATAACCACATATGCATAC